GTGCAACTGGAGCCGAGAGCTGCCATGAGAATTGTGTGAGGAAAAGGAAAATAGAAATCAATCACAACTTGAGCCAGGGGCAGCCGGGCCCCTGCCGTGGGTCACGCTGGGCTGGCAGCGCTTCCCGAGCTCTCCCTCGCAGGCAGGAATTGGCCTCATCGGGAAAAACGGCAATGGAGGGTTTGCTATAAATACCACTAATCCTCCGTGCTGGGGGGAGCGCGGCGCAGCCGGGGGCCGGTGGCACGCAGCACCCGGGGAAGCCACACACTAGAAATGAATTTAAATCCCAGCACTTCAGCCAGGCTGAGAAAGCCTGGGCTGCTCCAGCTGATGCTCCTGGCCCCCCTCCTCCTCTCAGGGGTGCCCCTAAAGCAGCACCCTGCCCCCTCTGTCCCACCTCCGCTGCTGTGGGTGCAGGGCAGGGGGGCCCTGCTGTGCCCCAACGGGGAGCAGGGACCCGTGAGGGGCAGGAGGGTGCGGGGAGCGTGGCAGAAGCCCCAGCACCCTCAGCAGCCACCAGCAGGAGGATTGGGGGGGGGGCCATGGGAGATGGAGGACCCCCGAGCTCCATCCTGGGGCCATCACCAGGACCCTGCTCTGTGCACGGGGAGGAGCGGGATGGCCGAGGCTGTTGCCACCCCTGGCAGCTCTGCACCGCAGTCGGTGTCCGAGCGCCGCGGGCAGGGTGAGCCCACGGCAGGCAGCAAGTGTTGAACCCACTTCTCCTTTCCTGCAGGGCAGGGAAGAGATGCACAAACCTGGGGCACAGGCAGAGCCGGGGCCTCGCTTCCCTGGCTGGGCTCCCCCCACCCCAGGCCTCTTCCTGATCTTTTTCTGATGACACCGGTGTCAACTGGGCTGTCCCAGGCAACACCAGCACAAGCTGCACCCCGGGAAAGGGGCTGCCCCAAGAGCAGGCTGCCCTACATCGAAGGAACTTGCCCCTGGGATGGGAACAGCATCTACTTCTCACCTTTGACGAGCAAGTGGTTGAGCTCAGAGGCAGACGCCCCTGCAGAACCCCCCCAGGCTCCCAAGGTGGGAGAGGAGAAACCCCAGCCTGGAGCCAGAGCCAGAAGAGCCTGGCCCTGCCAGTCCAGGGTGTGCTCAAGCCCCTCCGTGGGCTCAATTCTGCCCCCCAAGGGCTCAATTCTGCCCCCCTGAGCCCCTGCTTAAGGCAAGAGGCTCAGTTCACAACTGCCACAATTCTATGTGAGGATTACGCATCGTTTAGCAAAGGGTAACTTGCCTCCGCTCCTCTCCCAACCCCGCCCAGGGCCCCCTCTTTCGCTCAGGGGGAATTAACAGACCCGAGGCACAGAGCCAGCTCTAATAGAGAAATTTCCTTTTTTTTTTTTATTATTAATGCGGAATGTTTTGCTGGTCCTGCCGGCTGCCTCGCAGAGATCAGTCCCAGGTCCCAGCTCAGAGGGGCTGCCAGCCACAGAAAACCAGCCAGAGAGCCTTTTTTTTTTTTTTTCCTCAAAAGAGAAAAATTTGCCTCAAAACCTGCCAGAGGGATCTGTAGTGCACGGTCCAAAGGTTTCGAGCTCACAGTCTGAGAATCCCTCTGGTTTCTTGTGCCTTCTTTTAAAAAAAAAAAAAAAAAAAAAAAGAGGAGACAAAAACATAAAAGCAAACAGGGACTGAGCCTGCCCTAGCTTAAAAAAAGACATTTTCATGCATGTTTTAAAAAGAGAAAGGGCAGGGTCTCAGCGTAAGAAGAGCAGAGAGAGAAGGCAGCCAGGCCTACGGGGGAAACTGCTGCACGCTCCCGGTTCCCCTTCAAAAAGGTGGTGGTGAAAGAAGGACACGTGCACCCATGCACACGCCTGGGCACACTCACACCCCCCTCCCCACGC